CTTCGAATTGAATTATTCTTTTTGTGTTGGATAGTCCATTTATCAAGGAAGGCTATAGGCTATAACAGATCACGCTACGACCAATAGGAGCCGAGCAGAGCGGGTGAAACCGCGCTCAAGTAGCTAGTGTCACACATACGTGACAAGCGAAAACTGTCCCTGGACGCCAACGGCACAAATACACGACAGAAAGAAAAAGCGGAACCGGGTACATGAAATCCACAATTTGATTCCCTATCGGAATTCCTATTTTTTTCGAAGAAATTTGCGCGGAATTTGTGGCTTAGGCTTAGGTTAAAAAATTTCACACTGTACAAGAATATTCATCAATAATCAGCTGTGTCAATATTGAACAATTCGTTTGTTCAAACAAATAATTTTTATCTACTAATGTATAATAAAAAGGTAATAAATATTACCAAACAAAGGTGAATTGAAAGTCAATTAATTTCAAACGAATAACTATAGTTTTGGGACTAGACAGCAATTGCCAAGTGAGTCTGTTTAGACTCACTTAGTCAATTGGTGTCCGTCTGTAACCATTGAAGTATGAAACTTGCGGTAACTACGACTTATAAGTGTTATAATAATTCCTGATTGGTGATTTTTGTGAATTTTGTAATATTTTAGGTATTTAACTTTGTTTTTTTTATGGGATAAGCCGGTAAACGAGCGATGGATCACCTGATGGTAAGCAATCGGCGTCGCCCATGGATACCGGGAACACCAGAGGCGTTACAAGTGCGTTACCGGTCTTATGGATTAGAAACTCCGGTCGAGCCGGCCCATTCATGCCGAAGCATGGCTCTCCTACACTTTTTTTTTATTTGGTTCACAAAACTGAATACAATCTAACATACATATAAAATACCACAACAAACTTAATTAAGATTATATCTTACTAGATGTGAACACGGCATGCATAATAGAGAAATCTTACATTATTAAATGGAAACAAAAACTTTAGTTCAAAGTGTGTACACTTAAACTTTACGAAACTTTGAACTGATCAATTTCCAAGTAGTCACCGGTGACCGCTCTCCACTACCTTATTTCCGATGTTTAGAGACTACTTTTGTATAAACAATTTTTTGGGATGTATGTCAAGTGAATATTCCATAAGCGAATAAAATGAAATTAAAATTCTTTTGTAAAAATCTGTACAATATTCGTGAGTACCTAATATTTATTTAGGAGGAGATATGAATAATTATATAAATTTGTACTTTTCATTATAATAGGTGGTTTAGGGGTAGGCAGATACACTATAATATTTTATGGAAACTAACATAGGTAATGTAACTTCGGATGAAAAGGTGTGATAATTTGATAGTTATCAGACAACTATTGGTTGGTTAGAATGTTAAAAGGTTTTTTTTTCTAAGGGGCGAAAATCATCGAATGGCTGCTCCCGCCTGGGTGAGGCGGAAGGGAGTGTCAGACCCTTACTGACTAAAAACCACCCCGTTCCTTCTCCTGCACGTCGAGCCAGAGCCCCGGTTACCCGTTAGGTTCTCCGCGACTCCGAATCACATGTTAAACGGTTTAAGGCTATATTTAGTTGTGCGAACAATTTGTGTAAGTAGAAACTTAACGGTATGAAAAATATTAAACATTTTCCTCCATAAAGTTGGTATTAAAATAATACAATAGAAACTTATATAGGTTGTCGTTTAGGTGGTCCACGTTCCTTAATACTAATTGCCATTTTCACCAAGTAGGTATTCAGTTTTTAATATTTCTGTGTAACCTCCCTAAACCACCTCTTAACTAAAAGTTACTTAGCGTAACGTAGAACGTAAACTAACCTCTTAGGTACTTGTACTATTAGGTATCACTTATAGGATGGTGAATGTTGGTAAATGTCACCTATCTTAGCTTAGGGGGATCCTTAAAATTTAGGAGAGGTTGGTGAATACAAAAAAATAGAGAAGAGTGTATTCTTTTTTAAAAGGCCGGCAACGCACCTGTGTGTCCTCTGGTGTTGCGGGTGTCCATGGGCGGCGTTGATCGCTTACTATCAGGTGATCCGGCTGCTCGATTGCCTTCTGCTCCATAAATAAATGGGCGTAGGGGTTGTAAATTAAAAATGAAAACTCTCAAGATCAAAAATTGCACTGATTTTATTTTTCAAAACAATACAGTTACACAAATACACAACACGTTTATTTATAAAAATATTAGTATTAGTAATTAGTAATAGGTAATAAATTAGCCTATTACTAGACAAAAAATAACATCGCTGTCCTTACCGACTAACTTTCTACAAACGATACCTAACACATAACATTACGAATATAAATACTACCTAATATGAAGTTATAATACAATGACTGAGAATTGAGATCTTTCTGCAAGCGAGATCACTTCATTTTTGTGTAATTATTACGACAAATTTAATCGTCAAATACAAGGTGTACTTTTGAAATCGTAACATTTCTCGGGGGCATGTCACAGAAGTGATAAAGGTTCAATGTAAGACAAAATTTCGGGCCAATAGTTAAAAATACGGCTATAGTTAATCGTTTAAGTTCGACATTATTACACAATAAGCGGCAGCAATGTTTCCTATTGGACATTTATGGAATTAGGAATAATATCAATTACGTGTTTGAGTTTGTGTGTTAAGCCGCGTTATAAAGTTAGTTACAAGACGGCGGCGAGTAATTCGCACTTACGGATTTACGTAATTTACAGAAAAATGAAAAAAAATAAACCTAATATTTTTTTTTATTGGTTTGAACTAAAGCCAAGTTACCTCCTAGAAAATGACGCGGCTTTAAAACAACACCTTGTATAGACAGAGGGATGACCATTGAATTTCCAAAACATGGTACCACCACAACCTGATAAAATTATTAAACAGACTATATTTCAAAAATTATTTTATCAAACCCAATATATAACATCAGTAAGCCATGTATACCTAACTATATGTGAAATAATCAATTATAAACCAAGTCAAAAAAACTGACTTCAAAACCCTCGTTTTAAGTCAGTTAATTAATATACTAAAACTTCTCCTGATTGTAAAAAACACTCATCTGAAAACCACATCAAAATCGGTACAACCAATCGCGAGATCAACACACATACAGGGCCACCTCATCATTTGCTTGAAAAATTGACGTGTAAAAGTGCTGCCTTGTAGCCTATTTGCAGAAATAAATTCACTTGTTTCATTTGTACAAAACAAAATATTAAGGTCAAACTGAATCTCGTTTTTTTTGTTTTTGATCGGTTAATAAAGATAGAGTTACCTTTCTCGCTCGTGATACAGGGTTTTTTTTAAGGGGGAAAAATCATCGAATGACTTCTCCCGCCTGGGTGAGGCGGGAGGGAGTGTCAGACTCGTACCGACTAAAAACCACCCCGTTTCTTCTCCTGCACGTCGAGCCGGAGCCCCGGTAACCCGTTAGGTTCTCCGCGACGTGATACAGGGTTAATTTGTTTTTTGTGGCTTATATCTTTTGTATAACAGCCTTTTTAAAGGCACATTATTATAAAAAAAAATTTAAATACCTTAGGTAAATAGCATAAGTTTTGTGCCTCTATCAAATAGCCAACTTCATCAAACGTGCAGACATTAGTCTGATATTCTAAATAGCGCCAGACATAATTATCATACCAATTTGTTTAATTTGAACAAAATACAATAACTGCATTCAAATTAACATATCGCAACATAAACACCTTGTAGCATGTTTTTATCTTGTCATTTCTATAGGAGTTTCTATTATTGTATTTTTCTATTTATATTTAATTTAGGTATTACCTCGATTGATGGGAGTTAAATCTACCCTTTGGTTTTTGTTAACAATTGATTAAGTTTAGAACTTAAACTGTCAGAAAACTTAGTTGAATGGCTTCAGTGATTATTTTATTATTGTACCTTCTGGAAGTTTGTCGCCCGCTTACAATAAGTCCTAAAATGACATGATACTAGATAGCGCCATTATACCATTTCGATGTTTGTAAGTATTTAAGTAACCATTTATACGTTTTTATTTACGTAAAACGGTAAAACGGGGTGAATATAATTCAAGGGGTGAATAGATACAGGAATTGGGTGAATAAAAATTAGAATATTTTCCCAACATTTATTCACCCCTCGAATTCTATTCACCTCGTTTTACCGTTAATTCTATTTTCAATTTTGCGATTGATACAACATCGGATAGAACAGTGTTTTAAAAATAGATAAAATAAGTAGTAGTTCGTAGTTACTGAAACGTGGTTCAAAGATGTATTCATTTTAATTCGGTGTTAATGGCGCTTACATGAAATAGATAAAATGACAAAAATTAAGTACATTACAAGTTGTGGAGTATTTTCATACATATATCTGTAAGTAACTGCAAAATGCTATTATTATGGTATTTGGTATAAAATCACAACGTACGACATAATATGTATTTTTAACTGTTGATTTGAACATTAGTACGTTAAAGTGTATGTTGTACCTGATCGTTACTATAATACTGCTGATGATTTAATACTGATAGTACACCACATCCTCCGTGGTCTCACATTTATTTATATAGCATCATCTATATGTACATTGATTAATTATAATACTAAGTTATTGTAATGTTATCCATTCCTTAAATTAATGACTTATTCCAATTATTAATAATTCAATGGTCAGCGTTGGCCTCATATATCAAAATCATTAGATTCAAAAGGTTCAATCGAATATGTACATACATGTTGCACCCGCCTGTGCGACCCAGCCAGGTACACAACCTACAGCATAACTTCTTATGGAATGTTCATTTATAAAAAAATCGATTCTGCTTGACTCGACTCAAGATCGAAATACGTATATTTACAAAATTATTCTGTTCTGTTATAAAATTCGTGTATCGATGTTACATTGAATTACAAATCAGGCACCCTTGCTCTTTTCGATCAGTCATTTTCATGTTAGACAGAAGAAAACTTCTGTTAATGTATATTTTATATGTTTACACTGATTCCCAAAAGCTTTGCCCCTTCGTTCAAGGCGGGGCGCCTGATATATTGTTGGGGACGATCTCGGAGACATTGTCTGCTGAATCCTCCTCATTTTCTTGATGGCTGGTTCCTCCGGCTCGTCCCTCATAAGAGCGCGGTACTTCTTCGCGATGATCTCCCAGTCAACCACGCTCTCGATCTTTGTGGTGTTGCTGATGCTTAGCTGGGAGCCCAAAGGACTGAGGTGGACCACAGAGAGGCGCGTTGAATCTGAAAAGATATTGAACATTCGTTATAAATGGTAGGACAAATAATTCGTTGTTATTAGCAGTTATCTAGATGTCTTACGGGTGTGATCCCGCGAATTTCCTTGTATTTTCTCTTTTAATTCAATTTATGTGTCTTATATTAACACTTTTTAATTAAGGTTACAATTTATGATTTTTATCTACACAACACTATTACCTACTGTGGTAAAATTTAGTTTTTTAAAAAACAATTAAACACGAAATTATCGTAACCAGCCCAGTGTAATGTGAGCGTCTACTTTTTTAATTTTCTAATTTGTATTCAGATATACTATCTTCATTGAACAACGAAATGATAATAATGTCTTAATGAATTGATACACATTTTGTAACCATACAATTTATTAATTAAAAAAACTGTTGCCAATAAAATTAATATTGCTTTTTATTTTTAAGTATACGATTTGCCTAATAACTTGTAGAAAAAGGCTCTAAAATATCGACTGCGAATGTTAACTCAGTAAAGGATGCAATAGTTATTTCACGTGGTAGTATTTCGTGTAACTGACGAGGAATACGTTATCCTTTTAGTTATGGTCTACATTTTAACTTACCTTTGGGTACAACCTGTCCTCTCTTCACCTTGGACAGCCATTTGGCGCCTGCCTTGGACCGCGCGCTCATCTGATCCTGTCTCTGCAAACCGATCATATGCACCAAGCTTGGTCGCTTCTTTTTGCTTATTCGGGCCTGGTGCGAAAGTACTTGGATTAAAAGGCGTGAAATGTTGTACAGGTAGACCAGTAGACCTTTATACCTCGGTCGAATGTGAAGTGTATTGGCATATGTATGAAAAAATGTGACAAGATAATTAAAGGTAAATTAATAAATCCATGTGTATACTGCCTTATTGTTGGGCAAATTCCTCTCTTTACGGAGAAGGAATTAGCATTGATCACGATAAAGATAAAGATTTTGGGCGTATAACTTGTACGGGCTGTTCACAATGTATTCCTTCAACGTATTCAACAAAATGTGGCAGTTTAGAACTTAGGTGGAAAATGGTTTTTGAACTATGTATTCATCTACTGTTTGTATAAAAAGCATAAGTCCTAACTACTGATAGTGATGGGATATATGTTTCGAAGCCTTTACGGCTTAATGTGTAGTGTTTGAGTGTGTAAATGTTATAAAAAATTAAAATTAATTGTAAGTGTGCACTGTTTGTGGTTATTACGAAAATACATCTATCTATGTAAAGTCATACAAGTGAATTTTTATTCTCTTTAACCTTAAATATTTACTGAACCAATTATTTTTGGAATTTGGTTCAGACAAGGAATAGAAATATTCTACGGTTATTGGCTTGGCCTTTGATATTTTAGCATGTTTTTATTTTTTCTTGTATCTTTTTGTTTTTTTTTTCGATCTTCGGATGGTATAGGTAAATATTTTACTCAGATTTTATTATTTGTTAAATAACACTGATGTGTATTTTCCATCTAAGTGTATGTCAGGTGTAGCAGTGAAGTCGTCTAAGACTAGGCTTAATGTAACAATATATAAAATAAAGTAAAATATCTTAATTAAAAGCTACGTACCATAATACTATTGTACCAGTGGTACTTATAGAAATGTAGACTATACTATATTTAAAGTGAATTAATAGTACTTATTATTTATGATGGTTAGTTTTTACCTACCTCTACATATGTTACAAATCGATGCAGTTAGCACAATTTTCTGATAGGTACTATTTTTAATTAAAATTGTATATAAATATTAGCACTACCACTATATTCTTCAGCATTAGGCTAAGCTACAGATCTACGTAATTAATGAATAAATATTATGAAACCTAATAGTACCCTATTGTTATTTATAAGATTTTCATGAATAACAATCCAATATCTCCGATTCTTCTTCTTTTTTACTAAAATTTCTTTCTGATAGGTTCATAACTATGTTTTACCTACATTGGCTAGTTTTACTATAGTCTAAGGTAATATTTGTAAGTATAACCCACCTTGCAACGATGGATGAGCCACATCAACCACGTGGTCACCAGATTTAGAGGAGACGGGCAGTGTTCGTACGATGCATGTTGCGAATCAACTTCGATAGACCGTACTTCCATTCTATGTCTGATTGTGCCTGAAATATGTTTAATTTGTTACTAGAGTGCTATAAAGAGATTCCAATCTTTTCATAGAATGTTTATTTTTTGTTGTCAGTGATATTCTTATACCCTTAAGTAGGTTGGTTTAGAAAAGTTCGTTTAGTAAGAAATTTATATATAAGCCAAATGCGAATTTAACATAAGGTTATTACTTTTATTTTTATCATTGTTATTGAATCCAAGATGAATCAATATCTGTGAAAGCATGTGAGGAATATGATTATTGAAAAAAATTTTGATTAGGTAAGTTAAGTTAAGTAAGTGGCCAATTAATTCCACAGCATGCAACACTGTCATTATAGGTTTCGTATTAGTAGGCTTGTATTGTACCCGCATCGCTTTAAATACTTGTTGTGTCGGTGCTAGTATGCGCGCATGTACAACAACATGTTTAAATCAGTTCACGCGTTACCTGGATCCTTTGGTACGTGTCTGACATCATAGCAATGAGCAGATTGATCAGTACAACCACAGACACCAACATGTAGATTCCGAACACTATTTTAAACAGGTAATTAGTCCAGGCTGGCTGGATGGTACTATCGTTACGATGCACCCGAGTCTGGTCCGTCGTCGTCTGGCCAAACACCGCGAAGAACAGCAGCTCGAACGAGTACAGTGGGTTCATGGTAACTGCGAACAAGAGATCAGAGCTCTGGGCGACACGTAGTTACCTGGATGCGTTGGTAAGTGTCCGACATCATCGCAATGAGGAGCGTTACGAGCACCACGACCGACAGCAGTAAGTACGCCCCGAACACGAACTTGAATATGTTCTGCGTCCAGAGCGGCCGCACGCTGGACACGTAGTTTAGGTCCGATAACGTTATCTGACCGAAAATTGTGAGGAACAGTCTCTCCATCGCCTCAACCGGTGACAACGTCGCTAGAAGACAACACTCAACATGGACCTCGGTCTAGTTTCAAACGACGCGAACTAACGCGGTCAGGGGAGGTTGATGCATGGTCTACGCCTATACTCTTTGTACAATACTAACAGTTAAACTAACATTATGAAAATCATTTGTTTATTGTACGCTTGCATCAATCTTCCCGAAAATCTAATAATCTAACACGACTAGACACCTATGTGTGGGTGAGATAGATTGATACGTTTGTGTATGTATTCTGTACAATGGTATAAAGAAGTGTAGGTATGTGTGTTGTACTCATTTTTAGAATTTAGCTAATGTCTTGAATATTAAAAAGTGTAAGTGTTCGAATTAGAAGAAATACAATTAGTAAATCACTTATTATACCAGTGCATCAATCCACCCCGTCCCGTCTACGACTAGAACACCGAGAGCGCGGGCGCGACAGACGCCACAATGACGACAAACAGCCAAACATGACCGAAACATAAAATGGTACCTCGGAGTGGTGTAACAAACGCAGGACATAAGCCAGCCGCGGCATGCGCAAATCAAACTTGCTCCATCAAATGCGGTGAGGTCGGGCACTCATTCCACTAACAACTAGTATTGTGACGCGCAATGCATGTTCTGTGTCCACATCTGCAAACCACGTCTCTCGTAAAGCTATGCGATGCGATGCAGAAAATGCATTGTGTATTTAATAGACATCAAGTTTTCTAACCACCAAACCACTTACACGTGCCATAATATAAGAAAATAAACTTTGAAATTATGGCGATGCGAAGTGTACTTTGTATATTACAGAGACCTAACATTCACATTCTTGAAGTGATGGCAACAGTAATCTAATGGAATATGGAATGTTGGGAATGAAACGCCAACGATGATAACATTCTCGATGTGACAGACACTGAAGCTTGCAAGCGGATGCACAATATTGTTAGTAACGAAAACAACAAGTAAACAAGCACATCGAGTAGTAATGCGATCATCGTAAGGAAAATGCTAGTAATGTATAATGCACATATAATGAAACGGTACACTCTTGTTCATGTACTATGCGGACTTACGTCCCGTCGACCCTTGTTTCCTTCTGTACGTCTCTTCTGAGAGGGAACTTTGCCATTGCGTATCAAACGCTTGTCGTTTCAATCGAAGGGTTTCTATTTTGATAACAAGTTACAATCATTAAACATCTGAATGAACACACAGTCATGATTTACATATATGGATGAACTGTCTCTAAGGAGTATGTCATGGAAGGCAACATCGTATGAAATGGATTCACACTCACCGTCGGAGAACAGCTTCTTCCTTTGTTGTCTCGCATACTTATTGTCTTCAGCCTTTATAATATTCCTGAATGGCTGGTTCAATGCACTATGTGCATCGAGAAGCCGAACACAAATATCGCTAATACAGCGAGGAACCTTCCGAGATCTTTCATCAGATCTCCGATAATAATAGCCCACGGACCGAATAGGTGGTGGAAAGATAAGAAATCTAATATTGAACGCACGCTAATAGAAATGATAACGCAAAACATTGATTCCTACAATACATAAGCGTTGGCCAATACTTAGGTAATACGAATATCCAGCCGACGACGTGTGTAGCCACGCCGATCATGCCGCATAATAATACTGCTATTTTGATCCACCCTAAACCAGATTTGTCACTGGGGTTGGTGAGCTCAAAAAGTAGGAGACCGCTCAGACAAATGAGCAGCATCCATTCATACCACCTTGGAATTAAACTGTCCCTAAATATCGAATTATAAATAGGCGTAATCGCTACTAAGGCTAACAATACCATCAGGTAAATGTGTGACGTTAAATACGACATGAACTTAATTATAGGTATCTTATTGTATCTATGGCCTAATGGAAGAGAGAATACCATCCACACGGGTGGACATACTATGAACGCGAAAAAAAGGAACATAATTTTGATGCCGGTCCATTTGAGGCTCCCTCTCCAGAGTTCCTATAAACAAGAGAAAGGATGAGTATCACCAAATGCCTGTGACACCAAGTCTCTGTGAGGCGGAAGTTACCTATTTTTTACCTGCAGATATCTCTGGACGACTGTGTGGGCTATAACCTCCTTTTGTTCGTTTTCTATTAAAACGTCGAGGAATTCTATATTCCTATTGTCGGTGGCGGTGAGGATATGTCCGGCAGACTCGGCTCCGGCCGCGAGTGCCAGTAGCTCGGTGGCCATCGCTTCGCACTGTTTTCCTGCCGCTATAAGGTCTTTGGCACGCTCCTTTTCCTGTTGTGGCAAACGATTTCTATTAATATTAGATCACTTAATATTCTATGAGCAATGGAGTGTGATGCGTACCTTAGTGGATAGGATAATGTAAATATTAGACAGTTTAGCTGCAGTGTCGACTGGCGCCGGCGAGACTAACACGAACTCCTCGATTGGTATGTTGTTGTGGTTCTTAGAGCACACCATGAGGTTGTACACGAATCTCTTGTCGTCCATTAAGGACTGAGTGTCGTGTTCTTTGTGCAGTAAGTACTCGAGGACATCATTGTGGTTCTCTGAAGCAGCGAACCAAATCGGAGCGCAATTAAGATTAGTCTCGCTCTTCGGTGACGCTCCAGATTCACACAAGAGCTTCACTACGTTGAGATGTCCAGCTTTAGCTGCACAATGTAATGGTGTCCATCCGTTTTTGTCAGTCGCGTTAATTTCAGCTCCTGACCGAGCAGAACTTCTACCATTTGGTAGTGGCCGTGTGTTGAAGCTATGTGTAATCCAGTTTTGCCGTGTCTGTCTGTACTTTGAAGTAGTTCCGCTGATCTACTGAGGAGGAGACCGACAATAGACATATGACCGCCGAAGCACGCGAGATGTAGTGGGTTGAAGCCCTAGAATGAGATAAATTGTTATTGTAATACCTATTAAGTCATATATTTGGGGGAATATTATTACTAGACTCACGTTTTCATTACTCGCGGCGTCAACTTGTACTCCTGCAGAGTTAAGGAGTAGTCGCACGACGTTTTCGTTACCATTGTAAGCAGCTAAATGTAGTGGTGTTAGTCCTGACTCGGCTCCAAGCTCCGGAACTAGTGATACACCAGTTGGAGCTTCAGACTTCACTGTTCCCGGTACGTGAGATAGGAGTTCTCGAACAGTTTCTGAAATCAAAACAAAAAATATTAATTTATCATACTAATGTTTAGTGATATTTTATGTAATATGGTATGTTTAGTCAGCGTATTTACCAGCTTGTCCATAGTAAGCTGCTATGTGTAGTGGTGTCAAGCCTAACTTTTTGCTTGATATCCTCAACGTATTGGTTGATCGCATTACATCTAACACATTAGTGTGTCCGTACTGCGCCGCTAAATGTACCGCAGTAAGACCAGTTCTGTTCTCATCTGTACACGACGCTCCTGCACGGACTAAAACCCTGACTACATCTGCATGACCACCTTCAGCTGCCAATTGCAGTGGTGTCGAGTCATTTAATTTATTCCTAGCAGATATAACACCAGTCCGATCGAACTTCATGAGTTCCTCAATCACTTTCACTGAGCCCTGGATAGCTGCGATATGAGCGCACGTGTTCCCGTCCTTCGTAGTAGCCATCACTAAGTTTGGATGTTGTTGTAAAAAAAGTTGAACCACTTCATTGTAATTATTTTGTGCTGCCGCATGAATAGGTTTCTGTCCCAATTCATCTGTTGCATCGATATTAGCTCCAAGTTCTAATAAAAGTTTACATACTTCAATTTGCCCGCTAGCTGATGCTAAATGTAAAGGGGTTTGCTTTTTTAATGTAAGAACGTCTATCATAGCGTTGTGATCTCGTATTAAGAATTTAACAAGATGTGCGTAGCCATTCATTGCAGCTAAGTGAAGAGCTGTTCTGCCGTTTCTCGCTTTGGAGTTAATAAATGCTTTGTTCGTTAAGAGAGCATCGCAGACTTGTAAGTAACCATGTTCGGCGGCTAAGTGAAGAGCTGATCTGCCCTCAGTATCAAACACGTCTACTCTGGCGTGGTTTGATAGCAGCGTACTAACAAGTTCCATGTGTCCTCTGTGACATGCTATCAGTAAAGGTGTCCAGCCTATTGAGTTCTGTTTGTTCAGTGCTCTGCTGACGTCTGCAGGAGATATGTGCGCTATCATCTCAGTCATCACATCATTGTTTCCCGCTATGGCGCAAAAGTGGAAGGCAGTTTCATAATTGTGTTTTGTTATTAATGTTACGTCGGCACCATTTTCTATGAGGCATTTAACAACTTGTCTGTCAGCTGTTGGTATTTTAACTTCTTCTTTGGTGATTTTGCAGGCGAAGTGTAGTGCACTCGCTCCATCTTCGTCGACAGCGTCAATGTACGACGTGGCGACATTTTCACCTTTATGGTCCTTGACGAATTCTATTAGGTGCCGTACTACATCTGGTTTACAACTTCGACACGCCATATGTAAAGGTGTCTCGCCAGTCTGTAAACAATTAAAATTTTAGAGTGTAAATAATAAACAAACTATTGCCACCTGTTTAAATAAATGCAACGTATACTTAGTTCATTTTTTACCAAAAAATAATTAACTGCATATAGTAGGTAGGTACCTACCTCAACTGCAAACTTTATGTGACGTAAGTGAAGGAAATAAGTAATCTCAAATTGAAATTAGGTAAATATATAAGTTCGTTAATCTCGAATGTCCTTTACCTTGGTCTTTCTTAGAGGATCTCCTCCATCTTCAAGCAGTAGAACAAGTGTGGCGAGGTTGCCATACTTTGCTGCCACATGTACTGGGGTCTGACCATCTTCTGTCGCCTTGTTTGGACCGGCGCCAGACTTCAACAGCATCAATGCACATTTGTCACCTGGAAAGGTGAATATGTTTCTTTTAATGGCCTGGATCGACCATAGAGTATCGATATACTGTGGTTCTATATTATGGTGATCCATAATATGAACTATGGTTTTAATTAATTATGAGACTGCTAAATGTATTATAGATATGTCTCCTATACAGACAAATGTCGAAGGCAAAGAATGTAACAACGATTTAAAAATGTGGTAACTGGTAACTCCTAGCGAACATTCTGTTAATTCTTCAGTACTTCGTGTTGTTGCCAAGTTAATTAAGAAAAGCCTAAAGAAAAAATATATTCACCGTCAGGTATCCTGGCAGCTATGTGCAGTGCAGTTTCCCTCTGCTTACCACCTCTCACGTGGACATCAGCTCCATATCCCAGCAATGTCTCCACAACTGCTGGCTTACAAGACTCCACAGCTATATGTAACGCCGTGTAGTTATCCTGGATTGGATCAATAAGTTCATATCATTAGATATTTTGTGAGACCCTGAACCTGAATAATATGACATAACATAACATCACGCCTTTTATCCCCGAAGGGGTAGGCAAAGGTGCACAATACGGCACTTAATGCCACTGTACAATGTAACACCCACTTTTCACTATTTATGTTATGCCATATACCGGGCACATTTCCAGACTCCCTGCTACTACTGAGGTTTTTACAAACCCCGTAATACATTGCCCGACCCGGGAATCGAACCTGGGACCTCTTGCCCGGCAGTCGCACTTGCGACCACTCGGCCAATGAGGTAGTAGTAGTAGGTGATTAAAATTCATCCCGTACAAATTCCGGTAAGTCTTAGTTGGCGATAAAATACAGCATAGCGTAGCTACATGGCTATTCCAATGATTTGATATGCTGTAGGTGTGTCTTTGGTGTAAAATGAGGTAATTTTATAATGAATGATATCGTGATGACGATAATCTATACGTGTGTTAAAAACATACGTTGGTGGTGACATCGACGCTCTCTCCCTTCTGCAGCAGTGTGTTGATGATACCAACGTGGCCGTACCTCGCTGCCGTGTGGATACTTCTGGCACCATCCTAAAATATAATAATATTAAGTTAGTGATAACATTAATTTATAGATTTAAATGAAATATCCGCATAATACTCATTGTCAGCCGGAATATGTCCATTGCTCAATGCAACAATGGTCCATATGACAATATGAAATAAAGATGAAAATTGAAAGTAGGTACTTTAAAATCATTGCGCACTATTTTCATAAGTAGGTTCTTATAAACGTTCCTACCCCTTTTAACATAAGGCACAGTTTTATACATTAGCATAAAACTCTATGCGTATAATTTCACTACTTTTACGACTGTGGCAAAGGTCACTTGTACATCCGGCAGTATGTACTGACCTTTATACGCAACCCGCAGGAAATCCGGACATGTCACATATAACTAACTAGATAATGTAATTCTATGTTCATTCCGATTTAATTCCAACAAGGTTGAAAAATGTGACCATTTTCCTTAAAAGAGTTTAGAGGAAAGATTTGTAGCTAGTATTGATGGTCTTTTAATTTATTTATGCGGGTGATATTTTAGTATTTGATTGCGTAAATTATTAGATTAGTTTCCAAATACATTATAAAACTCCCACAGGATAGATAGAGAAGCACATATTATTATAATATAATGATAGGATAGGTCACTAAAGCACGGAGCCGCAGCCCTGTCATAATGATATGTCTACGACTTAACACCCACTTTTGGTCAGCAAAGCCGAAACCTTTGCTTAGCTTTTTTTTAAGGGGGGAATATCATCGAATGACTAAAGGGAGTGTCAGACTCTTACTGACTAAAATCCACCCTGTTCCTGCACGTCGAGCCGGGGCCCCGGTAACCCGTTAGGCTCTCCGCGACAACCTTTGCTTAGCTATCACGCTTCCAAACTTTAGCGGGCAATGTAAATGTATGTAATCAACATGTAAAACTGTAAAAGTACTTTCAGCACTAAAATAAGGCTAAGGTCGTTTTACAATATGAATTGTGTTTAATTACGAATGCACTGCCGACGATGAAATCAAGCACGCAACGTTTTTCGTGCACAAGACGCGGTTTGTGCGGCCCGTACAATGGAGACAATGTCACGGAAACGTTAAATGTTAACAAACCATGTTTGATTTGGTAAAACACTGCGCAAATAATGATAGACATTCATCTTGTGTTCTAATCAAATGGCTTGTTCTACATTTTGAGTAGAGAAAATTTATTTCAACGCTTTTTTAGATTATCTCTAAGAAAGATTAATTTTGTGCGTTTTGTTTACTAAGTTGTGATGTCATAACTTTTAGGGTTGTTGAATAAGAACTTTTGGTGTTTTTGAACAGTTAGAAATATGTTTAGTTACCTATTATTAATAAATGGAATAAATCTTACATTTCGTACCGTTTCATACTCAATCGATTATTATGACAGGTTTTAAATTACTATATAATAAATACTAAGATTTACGATGTCTTATCCTTCATTTTAACTACTGCATCGGTTTTAGCATAGTTTGCAGTATAAATAAAAAGTAATAGTTAAAAAAGCCGTGGGTTCTATGATCATAGTTCACGTAGGTGCGGTTGAACTGAATGCTAGTTAAAACAAAGAAAACTACTTTTGCTAGTTAGTAATTGCATTGCTTTCAACTGTTTTTTAATTAATGCTTGTTACGTTATGTCTTTGTTATGTCAACATGTTAATTAGTTTTTAGTTATGATTGCAAAGTTGGTGTTGGATTGAGTGATAGATTTAACTGGTTTATTTACAAATAATACACTTAAATAACAGAATTATGAATAAATATACTGGCTATTTCTTCGGAAAGAAAATAAGCATTGCCAGTGGCAATACTGCCAGTCTTATGGACACGTTGCCAGTGACTGTGATGCTGACGAATTCTTTGACAACAAAATAAAAAAATAAAAATAAAATACCATTTTACTTTTAAGTTCCTTTTTATCATTTTTTTTATTCATTGTTTTAGTTCATTTTAAGTTGTACATATTTATTCTTAATTATATTATTTAAGTGATAGATCTTTATCTATCACTTAAATTCAATTCATTCATTCAATTCAATAGTAGGTTTTAGTTTTTGAATTTTAAATATAATGATCTTGCATAGCTTTATTTGCAGGTATTAGATATATTTGGTAAAATATAAATGTATTTAAAATGCGCGCTTTTCAGTTAACAGCATAATGCGCATGTAGAGGTATACAACGTTTTTTTTTCTAATTAAAAACGTATAGCGTAATTAGACTCACTTTCGCTTCAATCCATACTACACAATACTATTAAAAATCACATGTGACGTTAATGAGTACCTACCTTATTAGGCATATGCAGGTAGACTCCCTTCTTGAAGAGCATCATGGCGCAGTCAGCGTGGCCGTTGAGTGAGGCGATGTGCATCAATGTACTGCCATCCTTTGTTCTCTCGAAGATGGATGCTTTGAACTTGTCAGCCAGAAGCTCGATGATCGCTGCGTGGCCGTTCTCAGCTGCCAAATGCATTGGAGTCCGGTCTGAAAGGAAATATAATGCAAAAAATCAAACAGAAATTATTGCTAAAATAAGAAAGTAAGATATCGCTATAAAAAAACAAGTTATGATATTGGTCAAACTATGTTACTTAAATGGGTACGATTAAAAGCACTTGTTTATAAACGTTCGAATTACCTATTCGGTTTCGTTCACGCGTGGAACAATCAGGATTCACAAAGAGATGTAATATACAATGTTTATAAAACTGAACTTAACTTTACAATATTAAAAAAAAAACAAAAGATTAAACACTTCATGATCTTACCTTCATTATCAGCAATGGCAGCGTTTGCTCTGACTCCATAGAAGTACTTGACGAGAGGTTCATCTCCCTCAGCAGCGGCGATGTGTAGTGCGGTCTGTCCGGCTCCGTTGACTGCATCCACAGCTGCTCCGTAGTCGACGAGGATCCTCGCCATATCCACGTCTCGTCTCCTGGCCGCCAGGTGGAGAGCTGTGTCCCCCGCAGGGGTACAGGCCTGAGTGGCACACGGGTTGTTAAACTACTGGAATTAGTACCCGCGTCACACTGGGTAATGGGTGGCTGAAGCGTTGTGATAGTGGCTAAGCGGAATGTTAATGGTTTGTGATAGTAAGAAGTTGAATAAAGTTTGTTGCAAGAAATATTTGGAATAATACTTTTAAATGAGACAGTAATCTTACAAAAATTGAGAAAACTAAATAAAAGCTACGTCAATGTAGAATGAAGAGAAAACTTGTATACATTCGAAGAGATAAAAGTATTTACGCGCGTAACACTAACAAAAACATTCACAAAAAAGCTGTAAGCAAAGTTACGAACAATTCAGGGAGTGAAACAATTTTTGTGTACTATTCATACGAGTCTCGAGTGCAGTTGCATCACAATGTAAGTACATACATACATATTATGATAACGCCTCACATGTGACGCGACAGCACACATACCTTGAGTTGCTCGGCAGTCTGCGCGCTGAGCAGCTCGCGCACCATACTCTGGTTACCAGCCTCCACTGCCAGCAGCAGCGGGATCTTCCCCCTCTGGAACACCATGTCGCGAATTAGCTTTTTCCATTCTTTCTGCTTGGCGCGCTCCTTGTTCAGCTCGATGAAACTGATTTCGAGCCTCTGCAGGTCCTTCGCCTGCAAGTTGAGTGGAGGCGGGCTGCGCCGGCCGCAGCGGCTGGCACTGGCGGCATCCCGGCCCTCGTTCATGTTCCGGCCCGGCACACACAACACGCCCTGCACTGCGGCCTGCAACTGCACGAATCGCTTCCGAGCCGTGACACCACAGACAATAATACTCGATTTATGTGCATCGCAGTCTTCGTAGGCAACTAGACAATAACGTATAATCGATCGTCTATCGTTGACACGATTTCCGATTTACTAAGTTACGTCCGTCACGTCAGACCTAGTGATACGTACTTGATCCTCCATGAGTACTAAGTACTAGCTACACGGACTAAAGTCGGAGGCCATGGCGGAGCTGCCTTGCTCTAGTCGTGACGAAGGACCGACTGAGACGTATTGTATTAAAATTACTAATTTTGAATTTCAGTGCTGACGTTGTAACTAATATTCAGCGAGTGATTTGCATTGTAAATTCGCGTGGTGACGTTTACTCGGCAGCTAAAGCTCGACGGATAATTAGCTAGTTTCTATTCGTACAGGGTGGCTCGTTCCTGCTATCGGAAACGTCCCCAACACGTCAGCCTTGGGGAGCCGCCACCGCCGCGACACTCGCGTATTGCTAGAAGTTGCTCATAATTAGTGATCGCCGGATTATTTTTGTCAGTTGATGCGTGTAGCGTCAAACGAGGGCACGATAACTTTCAGAGTTCTATTAGTTGTTAGGGTTAGAGTTAATTCAGCTCGCAGTGTAAACGAAAGTTTTGTTTACAGGTTGTGTTTAGGGTGTTTTCGGGGGTAGTTCCTGAATCAGGCGGATGGTGGTGCCAGGCGGCGCGGCTGCACGCGATCGCTGCGACGACGCTGCATCTACGCCCGTTCACTATTCTTGTATTTACAAATCATAACTCTAATAACTGCGCTATAAAGCTTAAGATTTATTGTACTCAATTCGCATCGGTCGTTTAGTTTTACTATTTCCAATTTGCATACATTTATGTATTTGCTAAGTAGAAGTATCGGTGAAGGTAGGTATCGGTCGTCGTACTAACGAACGGCAGACAGTAAATGACCTTTGTGAGGGAAGATGAACAAACTTTTGAATGAACATTGACAACCTGGGAAAAAGAGTGACTTGAAGTTGAAAGTGCTAGTAATGTTTTGTACGCCTATAATAGTATCCGTACCCCATCAACTCGTAGTCGGATGTCCTTTCCAGCGGCGGTGAGCAGTGCCCTGAGTATGCTGGTGGCTGTACCGGTCTGCCTGCTGGCCACCAAGTGTACAGCGGTTTGTTGCCGACTCTGTAATCAGCATAATGTATAAACCAACAATAAAACGCCAACTCCTTGTACTTGCTCTAAATGCAATATTTTATAAGTTATGTGGGAATTAAAGTTAATTGCGGACCTAGTTTTCTTGTTCTATTATTTGCCTCCTACATATATGAACTTTTTTGAGCATTGTGTGAAGGTTTTGTTAAGCCGATGTTTGTTACAATTGTACTATTGTTCAGATTCAGAATAGAATTGTATGAAGTAGAAAGAAAAAAATCTAAAAAAAAACACTTCAAATACGTAACTAAAATTTTTTTCGTTACTTTATAAAGGGAAACGTTATTGTCATTAAAAGGTAACTAATTAAATAAGGAAGGTGTGACCACAATCATATCGTGCTTATACTCACCCCTCCGGTGGCGAACGGGTCGACTCCTCTCTTGGATAGTAGCAGCTTGACGATGTCCTCTCTCGAGTACATGGCTGATATATGCAGCACATTATAGTTGTCCTGTCAAAGCAACAGGTACTTTATTTTTTAACTCTGTATATAAAAGTCCATAAGAATATGTATAATGAACGAATATCATAATTATTGGAAATGTATAACGCCTTGGTTTAATGACTGTAATGTTATACTATTATGATTTAAATAAATAAATATCACTTTCTGCACTATCTTCCTCACAGCCTTTGAATACATAAAATATTACGTTTTAATTGTGGGTTAAGTGTGGGAGAGCCATGCTTTGGCACGAATAGGCCGACTAGACCGGAGTGATACCACGGCCTCACAGAAAGCCGACGTGAAGCAACGCTTGGGTTGTATTTCGTCGTGTGAGTGAGGTTACCGGAGGCCCAATTACCCTCCCCTTCCCTAATCTCCCCAGTTCCTGAATCCCCAACGATCCTCAAACTTCTAATCTTCAAAAGGCCGGTAACGCACTTCTAACGCCTCTAGTGTTCTAGGTGTCCATGGGCGATGCCGATTGCTTACCATCAGGTGATCCGTCTGCTCGGTTACCGGCTTATGCCATAAAAAAAATTGATCTTTGCTGAAAGGTTTGTCGAAATTATAAGAGATAAATAATTAAATACATACAGGTTGTACTTAGAAGATCTAATATTATAATTTTAGACATGAGTACATAATTGGTTGTAGGTAATTGTTGTAGTACCTATTAGTACTGCCATCTATGAAATGAACGTTGTATTATTAACTTAGATGTATTAGTCAACTCGACTGGACACCCGTGGCCGATACTCTACATTTTGAATTAGGTAACCAAGTCATAAAATAGACTAACTGTAAGATAATAAAAAAAAAGTGAAGGAAGTACGGTGATTATATTTCCATGTTATTGTATTTTCTACGTACATTTTTGGTTATTTTCTACAACAATTTAAGTCCAACAACAGACCGCCTGGTACGAATCTAGATCGAAAACATTAGCCCTAAATAGCTTTTATTGGCAAAAAATGAAATAGAGAGCTAGACGCCATAAAATATGTTTTAAATTTCAGGGTTAGTTCCTCGCCGTCGTATTATTGTGACTATAAACATAACGCTAGTAGGGGAAACCAAGCGATTTTCTTAGAATTGCTTCATTTGCAAAAGTTACAAAAAGTTATCAGAGACTATAAAAATTCATAAGCATTTTTGGCGTAGCACGTCTACGGCGTAGCGAAGACTGGCTACGTAGACTAATGCTACGTTGCTACGCATCTACGTAATGATAAACTCATACATTAAGTTCGTTTACGTTTTAATTTGAGTCTTACACTAGTAATTCGAAATCACGATAAAGAATGTGGAATAAAGTAGTGATGGTAGTCCTTAAAGTTCAAAATAAGTTGTTTTGTTTTTAATATTTAACTGTTTTAAAAAGTAATAAACATAAAAGCAAGTCAGTGACTATCTACTCACATAAATTACTATAAAAAAAAATTGTTCTTTGACCTTGACTAAAACAAGCGTACTTTTGAAATAGGTGTCGCCAAATTACATACATTACGTAGGCACAATTTTCACCAAACATTCCTTCGCGTAGTAAATATGTATATACATAATTATGTGGGTATGTTTGTTGATAGATCGCGTGCAGGTCCTGCTAAGACATTAGCTTACTTAATCAATATGTATGCAAACTGGGCTATGTGTGCTACCTATTATGTACTACTTTAATTATTGCTTATTTTATGTTCTCTGCACGATATTGTTTTGCTGAATATTTTTATGTAATTGGATAATGTAGATATTGTACATTGATGAAATATTTCAGAATGTAGATATGAATATGTCTAGGACTGATTAAAAAATATGTGTTATTTTAAAATAGAAGAATTTCAAGTACAGTAAGTACAAAATCATTTCAATTATTCACAAAAAGACAGTAAAATGTGGGAGCGTGGGAGAGCTATGCTTCGTCATGAATGAGCCGGCTCGACCGGAGTGATACCACGGCCTCAAACTAAACCGACGTGAAGCAACGCTTGCGTTGTGTCTCGTCATGTGAGTAAGGTTACCGGAGGCCCAATCACCCCCTCCCTCTTCCCCAATCTCTCTACACCCTGAATCCCCAACAATCCTCAAACTCCGAATCCCCAAAAGGCCCATGAGCGACGACGATTGCTTACCATCAGGTGATCCATCTGCTCGTTTACTGGCTTTTTATTTTATTTATTTATTTAAGGGACAAAAAACAGTTACATATTAAGATTTTACATAAAAGTTTTACATTAAACAACAACTACAATAAATATGTAACCCACACCATTGCCCACAATTTAGTATAAAGTATAACGGCTTATCTCATAAAAAACAATATACGAATAAATTAATAAAACATGTATTTTTTCGTTAATGTTACGGGATAAAAATCAAAGACCACGTGACGAAATTCAGGAAGTTGTAGAGAATGAACAGTAAGCAATGTGTAATGTGTAATTCGTAGGTTGCGTGCCATTGGTCACCTCGTGCCATTTGTTGCTGCTAATGTCAGGGCCCTGACTCATATACTTGATGACACTTCTTGAATTACAAGAAAATTTCACGGTACTTTTAAATTAAAAGTACTCTTAATCAACGAGTATGCATGAAAAGATTGATGATTGTTGATGAAGCGAAAGAGGTATGTAGGAATCGTAGCAATTGGCGTTCCATAGTCTCTGCCTACCCCCATGGGACACAGGTGTGAAGTTATACATGTATGTACATTTGCCTATCTCGATGCACGAGCAGTTCCAAATCGTATCTAATACGAGGTTGGATTGTGATTCTTTATTTTTTTTAAATTCTGTTGTCTATAACACAGCTCGCTCTGTAGTAATCGTCTCGTTAGTTAAATGTAACTTGTAACATAGTTATTGATAAGTGTTTGTTATATAAGTATTATATACTTCTTCCTAACCCTTTGGCACTGAAAATACGTGATGTTACGTGTTCATAATATTCTAATACATTACGTAGAATATGGACTAATAAACCTCGACGTCAAGTGGTTACCAAAATATTAAGCAGAACCTATCGTAACAATAAAGTTTCGAATACCTAGTGCCTAGATACATCCACTTTACTCATGTTATAGTCCTTATGAACTGATTTCTACTTTTAAAAATATGATTTTACCGGGGTTATAGAAAAATATGATGACGGCATACAAAATAATCGGTCTCAGATGGCTAAGCAGAGGTGCACGTATATATAAAGTAACACCTGCTTTTTAAAAGTTACTCAATGAGTCCATATCATTGTAGATGAATAATTTCTTCTTTAACTCGCTTAAAAAAAGGTTATCAGTTTTTTACAAGTGAAACAAGTGAATTTATTTCTACAAATAGGCTACAAGGCAGCACTTTTACACGTCAATTTTTCCAAGCGAACGATGAGGCCGACCTGTATGTGTGTTGATCTCGCGATTTGTTAAACGGACTTTGAGAAAAGTGTTTGTTACATTTAGGAGAAGATTTTAGTATATTAATTACCTGCATTTAAACAAGAGGGGGTTAGAGTCTATTTTTAACGCAGTTTATGAAATAATTATTTGTTTTACAAATACAATACTTATTCATGATTCAGTATACCTAAAGTCTCATATTTTTTCAGGTCGAAACTACCTACCTACATCAAAAGAAAGTGTAACAGTAGCAAGTCCAAGAAGTAATTTGCTTTATCGCAATATGCAGTAATCAATGCAGGGTAATAAAATAAACAGCACTTGTAACTTTCAAGAACCTGATACACATCTAAAGAACGGTAATCTAGATCTGAAATTGCACTTCTAGACTTTATTTAAGGTTATTAGACGTTGTTATGCAGATATTGTTTAGTTGCTATTTGTTTAAACAATTGTTTGATCATGGCAATTGTCGTTTGGAATTTGGTTGAGTTGTTACCACCAATTGTCTGGTTTGATATTTAAGGTAAGCAAAGTATTGTATGGGTTTTAATTAAAGCAGAAATAACCAAAAATGTTTTTTTAAATTTTCTCGATTACAAGCAGCACATAACGTTATTTATTTAACGTTTAATAGATTTCAACTGACTACTAATATTATAAAAGTAAATAAGTTAAGTGAATTTGGAACAGCGATAGATTATACATTTTTTATAACATGGGAACACGACCAAAGCCGCTGGCAAAATCTAGTACCTACCTAGACGTCTAAAACCTCTTGAAGAAAATATTTATAAGTAGTCCTTTGAGCTAGCCTGATCCGCACAAATAATACACAATAAAACTTATTACAAAAGTCTACATAGCAACAGATATTTTCAGTTCCTATTCAGTAGTAATACAATGGTAGTAGTACAGTGCATTTGCCTACAAGTCGGTTCAAGCTCGAGTGGTGACCTATTACAGGTTATGAACATAAATTGCCTGCTGAGTGTTATCAAGCCATCTGTAACGGTAGGCATGACTCCATGTTACCTAGTCGATGTTAGTTATGAGACCTACTGGAAGCTAGGATGATTTATATCGTGGGGTTTGTGGTGGTAAATATTAGGGATGTGAAAACAAAGTTTTAACTTAAACTGTCAAACACCGCGAGGACACCGGTGACTGCAACCTATTGTTCTTTAATTGTGTCTATAATGACGGTACTCAAAGGGTTAAAATTAACTAAAATTAAAACAGGGAATAAAAACAACGAAAATAAAAATACCATTGTTTAAATATAAAACAAATATTGTGTTTGATGTGTTCATTTCTATATTTCGTGTTAAGGCTTTTTGTTTTTTAAGACGTCTTAGACCCATCAAGTTGGTCACGTTTTCAGTAAGGTAAAATCTGCGTTTCTTTATTTTAACCAGGAGTAGATTTACGTTAGGAAATTACATTTTTCTAGATTATTACGGAAGGCACAGAAAAAATTGATTGAACTATTATTTTTGAATGTGTGTGTGTGTGTGTGTTTCGAATTCGTAGAAATATATTGCAATGCAGAAATACTTAGATATCATTTAATAATACTGCTCAAAATTAATTAATTGTGTGAGTAAGTTTGGTTAAAAGAAGAAAAATGAAGATAAAGAAGATACTTAAGATAACAGATAAAACAGGATCAATTTAAACACAATATGCCATTTTTAAGTGTGGGAGAGTCATGTTTTAAGTGTGTGAGAGCCATGCTATGGCACGAATGGGCCGGCTCGACTGGAGTGATACCACGGTCTCACAGAAAACCGACGTGAAGCAACGCTTGCGTTGTGTTTCGTCGTGTGAGTGAGGTTACCGGAGGCCCAATTACCCTCCTCTTCCCCAATCTCCCTAATTCCCGAATCCCTAACGATCCTCAAACTCCTAATCCCCAAACGGTAAAGCACTTGTAACGCCTCTGGTGTTCCAGGTGTTCATGGGCGACGCCGATTGCTTATTTACCGGCTTATGCCATAAAAAAAAGTTCGCAATCTTATAGCTGTGTGTAGACACAAGTCTTAAGGGTAGTAAACTGGCATGCCTTGTAGGAAATTACCCTTTCGTTCTAGTTTGCTTTGTTTCAAGACGTCGAGCTCACTTAAATGCTGTTAATTATTATTGCACCTTCACCTTAGGGAAGTAATTTATGTTCTAACTAAAATCTCGATGCCTATCTCTAAGCACCTGTTTCACCACCTACATATAAGTATCGGATAAACTAAGAATGTGACAGATAATTTATACAAATCACTTATTTATGGACTATCCAGAAATTGTCATCTGTAAAAGAGTTCTGGCGGCCTTAAATTTCAACAACTGTGCAATGATGCGTTATATGTATGAGATTTTGAACATGATTTTGATGATATCATACGACAAATGTACTGAAAATGAACCTTATTTAAATAGTATTACGTACACCATATTATTTGAATTACGAGACTATTCATTATGAGCTTTTTGTTTCGTTACACATATGGGAGTTATACCATAGTACCTTAAGCCAAGAATACACTAGAGGACAAATGTCCTAAGACACGTGTATCGGCGACATGTCGAGCTGGCCGATGTCGCCTGACATATTTTTTTTTATTTTTTTTATACCACGACGGTGGCTAAAATGCACACGGCCCACCTAATGGTAAGCGGTTACCGTGGCCTATGTACGCCTGCAACACTTGGGGCATTACATGCGTCTTGGCGAGCCTTTAAAACCTATTCACTGCCCTCTTGAAGAACCTCATATTGTAGCCCACTGGGAAAACCACGACAGGGCTCATTCCACAATCGGAGGGTCCGTGGGAGAAATATACGGTGACAACGCACAACTTACGTAAACAGTGACTTGTTGTTGCTAGATATGTCGACCGGCAATGTTACGCTACTTCACCCAACGTCGCTGGCAACACGTATCGACGGAAATTTTGTCCCTAAGTGTATCCTGGGCTTTATTTTTTCAAATTAAACACTTGCATGAAAAGCCTTCTGATATTGATCACCAAAGCTATTATTGAAGCGATGATCGCTTCAATTGCGAAGTGGTACTGTCTCAGTATTACTTACCATGTGAATATTTAATAAAATTGTCGCCAGTAATGTAGATTATGTGAATATTATTAAATATTTACGACTCACATTGTTCCGTGCGCCAACGTCGGAGCCGAGTTCAATGAGCCGCTCCACGAAAGATGTTCTGTTGTCCTTCACCGCGTACATTAGCGGTGTCATACCCGTCGTCTGAAACAATGTTATATTATTAATTTAACATATATAATGACTGCCTCGTTGGCCGAGTGGTCGCAAATGCGACTGCCGGGCAAGGGGACTCGGGGTCGCGGGTCCGATTCCCGGGTTGGGCAAAGTACCTATTACTGGTTTTTGAAAACTCCGTAGTAGCACTGAGTCTGGAATTGTGCCCGGTATGTGGCAATAGGCTCACTCCCTATTACATGGGAATCATAACTTAAATATTGAAAAGTGGGTGTTACATTGTACGTGCCGTAGTGTGCACCTCTGCCTACTCCATTGGGGATAAAAGGCGTGATGTTATGTTACATTATAATTATAATATTACTTCTTGTTTTAATAATAATGGTCAAAGAATAATTCATACAATATTTGAAAGGTTTCTATGTAGCAACGTCAATAGCCTTTGTAAGGGCGCTGCTAAACAGTTCAATGAGTCTCATCTATTGTATAATATGGGTTGGAAATGTCACTTTAAAAGGTTCAGAGTGCCTATTGAATACACATAAGTAATCACCTTACTACGTTAATCTAATTACTTTCTTTTTTTATTATTTTTTTTTTAAATAAAAACGTTGCCACATACACGGATTTTCTACTGCGTAGTGAGTGCGTTTATAAACATACAAGGTCACATACACATGACAGTCAGACCCAAAACAACAAATTATGGATCACACAAAGAGTTACTCCGTGCTAAAATCTAAGCACCAACCGTGCAGCATTATAACATCGACGTTTATCAAAAATGACCAAAGACTTATATAGGCAAGATTATTAAGACTAATACATAACCCAGTTAAAATTGCAGGCCGCACAAAATGACCAGACCCGTGCTAACCACTATGAAACCAAATTAACTTAACTACCATGTCAGTTAAACAACAGCCTTGAACTTTGTAGTGAAAACGAACCCATTCATTTTAAACCAATGATAATACAAACATTCGCCATTTTTCTAACAAAATATACATTTTAAAGTTTCTATTTAAACACAATTACTGCGAAACAACTTTAAAAATAATTGTCCGTTATGGTCTCTTGAAAACTTCGCTTCGTGCTGATAAATAGTTAAGTGTTTGGGTGTGGTACGATTCAGAATATTAAAACGGTTTTACTTACGATCAGTTTTGTTTTACACTTATTTTTTGGGGAGACATAGACTAAACAACGACTTTTTTCAATCTGATCATCATCATTTATGTCAATATATGAGATTTGTAAAAATAATTATTACAATTATTAAGTTAAAATATTGGTTTTCTATGTTTCCATTTATTTATTTTTTTTTGTTTTCGTAATCCAAATTTATACACTACAGAACAAAACAAAATGTGATAACAAGATAACATTGTTTTTGTTTCTTTTTTCGCTGTTCGAAAATCAAATGAAAATAAAGAACAAAAAAGTTTTAATAGCAATTTATATTCAGCAAAGAGGTTTGATAACGTTAATAATTTTATTATTAAACAAAGAAACGTGAATTTAACGCTGTTTATTTTTATAACATACTAGCTACTGCCCGCGACTTCGTGCGCGCAATCTCGTTTTCTCCAGTTCCCATCGGATTTTCAGAACTTTTTCTGTTTTAAGAACGTTCTCCTAATAATAACAACTACAAAAAAAAAAAAAAGAATTAGTGAAATCGGTCCAGCCATTCACGTGATGCCGTGACCAAGGAGAAAAGGGACTCATTTTTATATAAAGAGATTTTTTGCAAGTTATTTTTATTTGTGTTGAGTTATTGGCTTACTTTTTGTTATTTACTATACTGTTACTACATTATTTCATAGTAAATTCAAATATTAGAACGGTTGCGGTTGACGCGGTGGGTGGGCATTTGGCTGCAAAAAAACATAGGTAAATCGCCAGTTCCTTATGACTTGTAACTTTTAAATCTGAATTAGCAATTTAAGAGGTAGGAAAACCAGCTAAGCAATGATTAGCACGACATATAGGCGTGTTACGTTATACTTTATAATAAGTTTCATAATAATATGTTACTAAATTACTGCTGTCATTATATTGCACATATATCAAGAACTTGTTACTAGTTGTTATACTTAATTAAATTGATTAAACATGTGGCTTAGGTACTTATGTGAATTATTGTTATATTACAGTGTCTAGTTGGATTTGTGGTAGTAATCGTGAACCGGGTTCAATTTCGAGTTGATACGTTTTTATACATAACATCACGCCTTTTATCCCCGAAAGGGTAGGCAGAGGTGCACACAGAAGTTACACCCACTTTTCATTATTTACATTATGAGTCCCATGTAATAGGGGGTGAGCCTATTGCCATATACCGGGCACATTTCCAGACTCTGTGCTACTACTGAGATTAAAAAAAAACCAGTCATACTTTGCCTGACCCGGGAATCGAACCCGAGACCCCTTGCCCGCAGTCGCACTTGCGACCACTTAGCCATCGAGGCACTTTTTATCGCATGATTAATTTTCAAAAGTATGGGAGTACCCATTCGGGAAATAAAAGGCATAGCATTATATGTTTTATGTATATGTAAATAGTAATTACCTACTTATCTCTCTGTCTCTGTCATACAGTAATTTTATTTATTTGCAAGAAAAAGATAGGTACAAATTAGCTTACAGTTTCTATATTAGGTAATTTGAGTACATAACAATGCGGCATTCTCCTTACTTAGTCATAACCTATCCAACAAGTTTGGGCGTGCTCCACTGTTTACGATGAACAGTGGCATCTAGTGTCATCACAGGGAAACGAATTAACAAGTATACCAGAAGTTATTCATAGATGGCGCTGGCAAACTAGGTTAGTTGTTCCATTGGCATAGGAAAGTTGAAGTTTTTTAATAGATGACTCTTTTACCTACATACTCATATACCAACTATGTGTTTGTTGTATATAGGTGAAATATGAATAGCTTCTACGATTATGTATTTTGTTAAACAACAATTTTATGTACTTGCTCGTACATTTTCGAGTTTATGGTAATTTGTAATGAAAATTATTCTATAAAGCTAATTTCCATTAACTTTTGGTGAACGTAAAGGTGATTCCTTGCTTTAACGCTGAACAGTTTACAAATCTTTGTCCTTCCTGAAAGTGTATAACAAAGTAGATATTGCTACGCCGTAGGCGGATGCTACGAAGAAGATTACGCTACAGAATTTTTAGATGGCTACATAATAAGGGGAAAATACTACATATTAGCTGTAGGCATATTTATGCTACGTTTTAGTTCATTATTAATTCGTCATAAAATTTATAGGAATAGGTGTTAACAAGATTATTATTTGTTTTAAAAAAATATTATAAATACGAAAGCAAGTTTGTTTGTTATCTTTTTAGAGAACATAGTTAGAATATAGTTTTGAAGAACTAGTTCACTTGGTCAAAGCCGCAATCAAAATCCAGTTTATTTATAAATTTTAAAATCGTTTACTTTGTTAGTCACATATTTTGTAAAACCATTATACGGTGCTCAAAGTAATAGCTTGTCATTATTTCATTCTAAAACAAATGTGCTTGATAAATGTTCGCGAAAATTGAGGTTACACTGAGGTGAAACAGTTTATGTAAATTAGATTAAATTATAGTAATTTACTACAAGTAGGCACAACATAAATTTATTCGCTGTCTGCATCCACCTTAGTTGGATTTACTTAACTTAAGTGGACTGCAATACTTTGTCCATATTTTTATATTAAAGTAAGTGCACTAAATTAATTTTGTATACAGGGTGTAATCGGAACGCTCCCGAAAAACGCAGACAAAAATAATAGTTTTTAAAATTTTATCGTTGTTGTTTACATGTTATTCATAGAACGTCAGCCTTGAGCGGTTAATTACAATAATTATTACATAAAGGAAACATTTAATTCCTTACTATCATGAAAATAAAACTGGTTTTTGACCATAATCTGTCGGCGTTTTTCGGGAGCGTTCCGTTTACACCCTGTATGTTAAAAATTATACATAAAGATACTTATATCATAAAATGAAATCGCGGGTTACTCACGTGAATATACTGAGAAAAGATCAACTAGTTTTTGTTTATTTAATATGTCTCACGATAGTTATTATAAAAACATCATAAAATTGTTTCGATTGCGACGAGATTGAGAGAGATACCAATAAATTAAATACACTTTCAATTAAATAATTGTATGTTTTTATAAGAACTATCGTGAGACATACCTACTAAATTAACTAAAAATCGCGGTTTACTCACGTGAATATTCTGAGAAAAACTCAACTAGTTTCGAACCACAGAGGAGTTCTTCCTCATTAGCAGCGTGCGCGGTCGCGGCGACGTCGGTGGTTTCCAAACTAGTAGAGCTTTTCTCAGTATATTCACACGAGTAACCCGCGATTTTAGGTAATTTAAATAATTGTAGTTATGTATTGTACAACACACACAGTACAATTATATATTGATTATTAATTGTATGTCTTCGAAAACAAAATAAAAAATAACAAAGTGGTGACCTTTGAATGGCAGGTAGTAAATACAAAAATTGTGCAACAATATTTAGAAAGTGCTTATATGGCATTTTATTTCAAATTTACCAAACAGCAGCGCCTTCCTAAATGACTTGGCAATGACTTCCTTTACCTTACACGTGAAATTCACATTAAACTTCATTATTGCTTTTGGTTTGACTATATACGGTTAAAAACTTCTTAAATATTTGCTTTGTTTTTGTAAATGACTATTAAATATCATTATTAAAGATGAAGTTAAAAAGTCTTTATATAATAATCTTTAATAAACTTAAAAAAATATTTTTTATGTTTTTTAATGAAACGTTGCCACACACTAGAATTTATTCCAGTGACATTAATGTGATTGCAAATATATATCTCAAAATCGCGTGCATATATTGTGAAAATCTCTACTAAAATTGTTTCGTGTGGAAATCGAAACCGCTACATGTTGCAAGTAGCAGGTCATCCAGTCTCTGCTTAACCTTGTTATTATTAAGCATTACAT